AAGAGTATAAAAAACAACATACTTTAGTATGTGTCCTGAAAATGTATAAAAATACTATAGTATGTGTCCTGAAAAAGTATAAAAATAAACATACTATAGTATGTGTCTTGAAAATGTATTTAAAAAACATACTGCTGTATGTGTCCTGAAAATGTATAAAAAACAACATACTATACTATGTGTCCTGAAAATGTATAAAAACAACATACCATAGTATGTCTTCTGAAATTGTATGTAAAAAAACATGCTATAGTATGTGTCCAGAAAATGTGTAAAAATCATACTAGGTTATGTGTCCTGAAACTGTGGACAAAACATACTACAGTATGTGTCCTAATAATGTATAAAAATAAACATACTATAGTATGTGTCCTAAAAAAGTATAAAAAGCAACATTCTATAGTATATGCCCTGAAAATGTGTAAAAAAAAACCATACAACAGTATGTGTCTTAAAATGTATTTAAAAAATATACAATAGTATGTGTCCTGAAAAAGTATAAAAAACAACATACTTTATTATGTGTCTTAAATGTATTTAAAAACATACTATACTATGTGTCCTAAAAAAGTATAAAAAACATACTATAGTTTGTGTCATTGAAATGTATAAAAAGCCAAGCTATAGTGTTTCCTGAAAAATTGTAAAAAAAAAAAAAACAACATACTATAGTATGTATCTTGAAAATGTAGAGAAAAAACATACTGTAGTATTTGCCCTGAAAAAGTATTAAAAACAACATACTTTGGTATGTGTCCTGAAAATGTGTAAAAAAAAACATACTATAGAATGTGTCTTGAAAATGTATTAAAAAACATACTGTAGTATGTGTCATGAAAATGTATAAAAAGCCAAGCTATAGTATGTTTCCTGAAAATGTATAAAAAAAACCCAACATACTATAGTATGTATCTTGAAAATGTATTTAAAAACATACTATATTATGTGTCCTGAAAAGTATAAAAAACAACATAATTTAGTATGTGTCATCAAAATGTATAAAAACATACAATAGTATGTGTCTTAAAATGTATTTTAAAAACATACTATAGGATGTGTCCTGAAAAAGTATAAAAAAACAATATACTATAGTATGTGTCATGAAAATGTATAAAAAGCCAAGCTATAGTATGTTTCCTGAAAATGTGTTAAAAAAAACAACATTTGTATCTTGAAAATGTAGAGAAAAAACATACTGTAGTATTTGCCCTGAAAAAGTATAAAAAAACAACATACAAATACTATAAATACTATAATATTGTATGTGTCCTTAAAATGTATAAAAAAACATACTATAGTATGTGTCCTGAAAATTTGTTTAAAACAACAACAAAATACTACAGTAAGTGTCCAGTTATTGTATAAAAATAAACATACTGTAGTATGTGTCCTGAAAAAGTATAAAAAACAATATACTATAGTATGTGTCATGAAAATGTATAAAAAGCCAAGCTATAGTATGTATCCTGAAAATGTATAAAGAAATTAACATACTATGGTATGTATCTTGAAAATGTAGAGAAAAAACATACTGTAGTATTTGCCCTGAAAAAGTATAAAAAACAACATACTTTAGTATGTGTCCTGAAAATGTGTAAAAAACATACTTTAGTATGTGTCCTGAAAATGTATAAAAATACTTTAGTATGTGTCCTGAAAAAGTATAAAAAACTAAATACTATAGTATGTGTCTTGAAAATGTATTTAAAAAACATACTGCTGTATGTGTCCTGAAAATATATAATAAACAACATAATATAGTATGTGTCCTGAAAATTTGTATAAAAACAACAACAACATACTACAGTAAGTGTCCTGTTAATGTATAAAAATAAACATACTGTAGTATGTGTCCTGAAAAAGTATAAAACACAACATACAATACTAAAATGTATTTTAAAAACATACTATAGGATGTGTCCTGAAAAAGTATAAAAAAACAACATACTATAGTATGTCATGAAAATGTATAAAAAGCCAAGCTATACTATGTTTCCTGAAAATGTGTAAAAAAAACAACATACTATAGTATGTATCTTGAAAATGTAGAGAAAAAACATACTGTATTATTTGCCCTGAAAGAGTATAAAAAACAACATACTTTAGTATGTGTCCTGAAAATGTATAAAAATACTATAGTATGTGTCCTGAAAAAGTATAAAAATAAACATACTATAGTATGTGTCTTGAAAATGTATTTAAAAAACATACTGCTGTATGTGTCCTGAAAATGTATAAAAAACAACATACTATAGTATGTGTCATGAAAATGTATAAAAACAACAACAGCATACTACAGTAAGTGTCCTGTTAATGTATAAAAATAAACATACTGTAGTATGTGTCCTGAAAAAGTATAAAACACAACATACTAAAGTATGTGACTTAAAAATGCATAAAAAGCCAAGCTATAGTATGGGTCCTTAAAATGTGTAAAAAAAACACCAAACTATAGTATGTGTCCTGAAATTTTTTATAAAAACAACAACAACATACTACAGTAAGTTTCCTGTTAATGTATAAAAATAAACATACTGTAGTATGTGTCCTGAAAAAGTATTAAAACACAACATATTAAAGTATGTGACTTAAAAATGCATATAAAGCCAAGCTATAGTATGTGTCCTGAAAATGTGTAAAAAACTATGCTAGTCTAAGTGTCCGAAAAATGTGTAAAAAAAACAACATACTATACTATGTGTCCTGAAAATGTATAAAAACAACATACCATAGTATGTCTTCTGAAATTGTATGTAAAAAAACATGCTATAGTATGTGTCCAGAAAATGTGTAAAAATCATACTAGGTTATGTGTCCTGAAAATGTGGACAAAACATACTACAGTATGTGTCCTAATAATGTATAAAAATAAACATACTATAGTATGTGTCCTAAAAAAGTATAAAAAGCAACATTCTATAGTATATGCCCTGAAAATGTGTAAAAAAAAACATACAACAGTATGTGTCTTAAAATGTATTTAAAAAATATACAATAGTATGTGTCCTGAAAAAGTATAAAAAACAACATACTTTATTATGTGTCTTAAATGTATTTAAAAACATACTATACTATGTGTCCTAAAAAAGTATAAAAAAACATACTATAGTTTGTGTCATTGAAATGTATAAAAAGCCAAGCTATAGTGTTTCCTGAAAAATTGTAAAAAAAAAAACAACATACTATAGTATGTATCTTGAAAATGTAGAGAAAAAACATACTGTAGTATTTGCCCTGAAAAAGTATTAAAAACAACATACTTTGGTATGTGTCCTGAAAATGTGTAAAAAAAACATACTATAGAATGTGTCTTGAAAATGTATTAAAAAACATACTGTAGTATGTGTCCTTAAGAAGTATAAAAATTAAAATACTATAGTATATGTCCTGAAATAAAAAGCCAAGTTTTAGTATGTGTCCTGAAAAACAACATACTATAGTATGTTTCCTGAAAATGTATAAAGAAACTATGCTATAGTATGTCCTGAAAATGTCTAAAAAAACAACATACTATAGTATGACTCTTGAAAATGTATTAAAAACCATACTATAGTAAGTGTCCTGAAAATGTATAAAAATACATACTGCAGTATGTGTCCTGAACATGTGTAAAAACATACTATAGTATGTGTCTTTAAAATGTATTAAAAAACATACTCTTTCCTGAAAATGTCTATGAAAATCATACTATGTCCTGAAAATCTATAAAAAACTACTTACTATAGTAACTGTCTTGAAAATGTATTAAAAACATACTACAGTATGTGTCCTGAAAATGTATAAAAAACTATGTGTGTCCTTAAAGTGTGTAAAAAACAACATAGTACAGTATGTGTCCTGATAATGTATAAAAATAAACATATTATAGTATGCAACCTGAAAATGTATAAAAATTTACTATAGTATGTGTCCTTAAAATGTATTTAAAAAACCATACTATACTGTTCTTTCTCGTAATGTACTGATCAACATTAGACTTTCATACATATTAGATTCAACACACACAACTGAAGTAGTTCAAGCCTTTTATTGTCTCTAATATTTAAAATAAAGGCCATTTACCATTTACCAATGAGGATTTTGATGATTTTGGCAAACAGCTCATGAAAATCCAAAATTCCTATATATGAAAGTCTAATGTTTATCAGTGCATTACAGAAAATAATGAACTTTATCACAACATGCTAATTGTTTTAGAAGGACCTGTGTAAAAATAAACATACTACTGTATGTGTCCTGAAAATGTATAAAAAAAACTATACTATGTGTCCTGAAAATGTGTAAAAATAATTAAAGTTAAATAAATAAACATACTATAGTATGTGTCCTGAAAATGTGTAAAAAAAAAAAAAGATCAAACTTTGTTATGTGTCCTGGAAATGCATTTTCAAAAAACATACTGTAGTACATGTCCTGAAAATGTGTACATAAATAAAAAACAATATAGTATGTGACCTGAAAATGTGTAAAAATAATAAATAAATAAAAACACCTGTCATGAAAAAGTATCCCACTGTATTCCCACAGGGAAAGGTACAGCCACTATGAAAAGTTAGACAACACAGTATATTTTTATACATAGGTATGAAGGTTCACTAAATATTCAGTTGAATCAGCCACTTCAAATATGTATCTACATCACTTTTGTTACGTGCCTTGCCCCTTATCGGCCACAAGATGGCCTCAGTGGCTTCTGCCTCGCCAGTCTCCCGGTGCCCAGCCGTTCTTAATCACCGATAATCACTAGACAGCTGTTAAAAGCTGCTCTCCTGCCCTTAGTCTGGGAGAAGGTACAGGGAAGTGTGGGCACAAAGGTGTTCAGGCTTCTCTCTTCTCCTCGTGTGCTTCGTTTAGTGGTACTTTGGTGGCTTTGACTCTTGTTCAATAGGGTTTCTGGTAAACTTTGACTTTGGGATCGGCCTTCGACTCCGCTTTGGACCCCCCCCCCCCCCCCCCCCCCCCCCCCCCGAGCGTCTCTGCTTAACAGGACGTCTCTCATTAGTCTAGTGTTTTTTGTTTGTAAACGAATATCTTAGTTAGTTAGTTCTCCTCCTCCCAGCCCTTTTGGCTTGGCGCTTCTTGTTATCCTTTTTCCCTTTTGTATATAGCGGCTCTTTGTGTTTGTTTAATAAAATCCTTTGTTGGAGACACATTACTTTGTTATTATGAAACCCACACACTGTTTCTCTTACTCCCTCCACCACATCACTCCTAGTGAGCGGAGGGACGTAACAACTTTATTTATTAAGTTGCACTTGGTATAAAATTCATTACATAAAAGTGTTAAAAGCAGTTGTAACAAAGTGCCGGATGGATCCGGAAGCAGCATTTAAACCATGTGTGATACACTTGCTTGTGATTTTGTGTACTTCACAAGTCCAGTTTATCCTGGTAGACTTTCCTGTTTACTTCATAGACACCCACAGGTCTTGACCACCATGTTGCGATGCTTTTTGAGGATGACGTTGTTGTTGTCATCGTAGAACAGGACCGAAATGGGGCTGAGCTTGGTTGGAGCGCAACAGGCTGTAGGGACTTCCTCTGGCTTCATGAGGTGGACCTGCCAGACCCAAAACACACAAACAGGCTGTGTTTAGATTTGGCCTCCCAACTCACGAGTCGAGTTGTAACTGATGTTTTACGATTCTGTAAAAGCCGTTTCATTCGTATCGACTTGTGGCCAACTAGCACAATGCTCCAGATGTGACCCAGAAGAACGCCATTTACCTCCATAAAACGATGACAGGTTCATTGTGAACAAGATGGCAGCAGTGCAGCATGACCCTAAGTGTTTATTTATCCAATTTATGAAAACATCACGCTGCTCAAGACTAATAACCACGAAATAATGACAGTAAGTGAATCTAAGTGGGTTGCTAGTTCTGCTCCAGAATCATATAAATGCTTCACACGTAGTTCACATTCAGATATCTAATTTCTCTTTGTTACAAAAGATTATGACCTGAGATTTCAGTCTAAAATCATCAAACTACGATATTTGAAATTCATCCTAATTAAAGCTTGTGAGTTGATGAATTATGTACACTTCAGAGTGAGCTGAGTGCAGAGGTGGTGTGTGTGTGGCGTTCTGACCACGAGCTGGATCAGGGCGTGGTTGGTGGCGTTCATGCAGGAGCCCAGAGGATAGATACACTCTCCATCACAGTAGTACGCCGAGTATCCGGTAGGAGCCAGAACCCAGTCCTGAACACACCCGGACCAGAACATTTATGAAGGACAAACAAAAACTCATTCATGTCTGATTAAAGGGATTTACACAAACACACCGTCGTCTCAATTTAACAGATATGACTTCATTTTAAATTAATTTCTAAATCAAGTAAAAACTATCAAATTTTTCACCCAAATTTCTAAATTTCCAATTTTTTAAAGAATCAACAAGAGTGTTAAAAAGACGTGGAGGTCACACCAGTCTCAGAGTAAAAAGAGTAACTAACCATAATCACTACCGCCACCTTAACCTAACTAAGTCTTACGGGTTGTTTTCCTAGTGAGGACGGCCACCGAACATGAAAAATACTACGTATATAATTAACTCATGTGCAGTGAATGTTTGTCAACACAAAATACTAAAATGCAAAAGCTAATTGTGTCCACATGACTAATATTCTACAAAAATTAAAATCGGAAGCTCACCTTCCATCCCAGGTCGCTGAAGCTGACGTAGAGTTCGTGTTTTTTACACGGCTCGCCTTTACTTGCAGCACTGCGATCTGAACAGGTGGGAAAACACATCAGAACACCATGAAGGTACTTTAATATTTACTCTTATCACCTTCACTCTGGTTTTATTAACTTCAAGTTTTTAACAAATCAAAGATGTAATTAAAGGGGACAGAGAATCTTAAACCAACATTTTCTTGTTTGTGAGTAAGGACAGCTTGGGTGGTGAAAGGGTTAAAGGCGTGTGTGACCTACTTCGTATGTAAATTAGAAAGTTCAAAAATGCCAGAACAAGCATCTTTTCTGAGAAACCTCTTATTAAAACATCGTAATGAGGAGCCCTTCCTCCTCCAATCAGAGCCTCCCGTGTCTGAGGCCTTCTAGTTTAAACCAACCAATCAGCAAGCAGCTCATTAGCATATTCAAGTGCAGGCCAAGTGGGAGGGGTAAACAGCTCAGCCTGCGTCAGGGCTCCTGAAGCACACATGTACTCTCTGAGCCCTTACTGTTGATGATGGGGACCGGGAGGTCGTATTTGTGTTTCTTCCTCCTGGGGTGGGGCTTGACGGCTCGCGGTGGCCGACACGGAACCTGGTTCTCCCTGAAGAAGGTCACCATGAAGGGTTGCTTGGACCCGGGGCCCCTGCGACCCACCAGGCCGATCCAGGCTGCAGACAGGGATCGGTCTGAGAGCAAACAGATCTCAGGTCAGCTAAATGTCCCAGACCGCACAACGAATCCGTGGTCCAGCAGAGCGCTCACCATCCTCCGTCTCTACGTAGAGGCGTATGCCCAGGTTGCTGCGTGGGTGGAGCAGCCAGTGGTTGGAGGCTGAGGTGACATCGAAGGCCAGCCAGCCCTCCTGGCCCGCAGGAACCGACTGCATGTCCAGCAGCACCAGCTCCAGCTCCCTGGAGGTGAAGAGACATCCATTAAACGTATCGTCGCTGTCCAACACCCCCCCCCCCCACACACACACACACACACACACACACGCAGAACACTACAGACATCAATAATAAAGCATGTCATTACATAGTAGTAAACTTATACAGCTGCCCTTATAAATGTACTATTGAGTTTTTTTATTACAAAAGCCTAAAATAAAAAACTGCGAATGACCTCATAGCCCCCCCCCCCCCCACCACCACCACCATACCAAGGTTTCTAAACAGCTTTTAATGAACTCTAAATGAAAACATTAACATCAGTTTTTATAATTTTAAACTTTTAGAGCTTTAGTTACTTGTTACCTTTAGTTACTTTACATTTAGAAGTACTGGAGAAGAGAGAAACAGCTTTTGATGGCTGAACTTTCTTCTGTCAGTTTCTGTAAAATGACTCTAGATGAATAATAACTGTTATACAAGTGGTCCACA